TCTTTGATCAATAAATAGTTCAACTGAGTATTTATTATTTATTTGATGGGTACTTACAAATACTCAAAGATTACTCAGCAAGTACTCAAAAAATATGCATCTCGGAATTTGTGAGTTTAGTGAAGATATTTTTTAATAATAATGATTTATTCCTTTTGAGATTACTCGATTCAAATTTTCCAGGTACTACTTCTTGGCTTACATGTACTGCCAGGATAAACATGTCCATTGTGAAAATTTTAGTCCTATAAAATGTACATTAATTGCAGTGCCATTTGTTGACTATTATTTGTAGATATACTCTTCAAGGAATGGGCAATAAATGGCATTGTAAAGAACATACATTGTATAAGGCTGAGACTTTCACAATGGACATGTTTAACATGACAGTAGATGTAAGCCCAGAAGTAGTACCTGGAAAAATTGAAACCATCCATCTCAAAAAAACAAAACTTTACTAGTATATCACCACTAAACTCAAAAATTTGAGTTGCATTTTTATGTGTATTTGCTGAGTAATTTTAAGTACGCATCAACTTCACAATAAACACTAAATTGGAGTATTTATTTTATTTCAAATTACACCATCATATACTAAAAAGAAATGAAGAAAATTTTAAATAACAGACTGCAAATAAGCCTTATGTTCTCTTTTCTATATAAGGTCCAAAGACTTATTTAGAAAAGAGAACATAAAGACTGTAATAAAAGCGGTCAATATAGTATTAAAGGATAATGAATATAATACTAAACAAAATTCAACCACCAAAACCACTATCAAGTAAGGCAAATAGTAGAGATACACGTACCAAAATAAAGACATCAATAATAGCTATCAAATCAGCAATAAAGGACAATCCAAATTATTGATTTACTGTATAATTTGCTATAAATACGCTAAAAAAGTGCATTAATAGGCAAAAATGTGAAGTAAATACGAAGAAAATATGCACTAAATATGCAGTCTTTATGCACTAAATAAGTATTAAATATGCAGTCTCTACGGAATAAATATTTAGCATATATGCATAAAATTCATAGCAAATACGCATGAATTACACAATAAGCAAAAAATACTTGTATAGCCACAAATAAAGCTCTATGGAGAAGTTATAAAATTTCAATCATTCAAATGAAGTCATTTTATTAACAAATGATTTATTTAACATTTAATAGTTAGAAATAAATTTAATTACGATGAATATTTTACTTTAACAATCAATTATCACAAATATACTTATTACATTTATTGCTCTGATTCAATAATATTAATCATCATCCTCATATACATAGCTGATGGTTGACTGGAGGGTACACCGATTATGAATTCATCGGTGAAGCATTCATGCATGTTTATGAAATTATACTACTTAGCTGATGGCTGACCTGAGCGTACGCAGGTTATGAATTCCTTGGTGAAGCATTCAGTCATGCTTGTAAAATTACACTACTCAGCTGATGGTTGACTGGAGGGTACACCGGTTATGAATTCCTCGATGAAGCATTTGTGTATGCTTATGAAATTACATTGCTTAGCATATGAATGACTGGAGGGTAAGTCGGTTCTGAATTCCATGGTTATGTATTCGGGCATGCTTGTGAAATTACACTGCTTTGAAAGTGAAGACATTTGTGTTGTATTTTCCTTCATGGGCAATTTTCCTATTAAAAATATTAATCTCAAAAAATTTTAGTTACAATATGTCATAATATATAATAAAAAGAAATTATACATGAAGTTAACTCATACTATTTGGGTTCTTTTCTTCCAATTGCTTTTCAGCCTTGCATTCGATATACTTTTTGTGTTGTGCTTTAGAGGATCTTTCACTTTTACAATACCACCATGTGTAAAATTGTGCTTCTTTTTCTTCTCATAAAGAATCAAATCGATGTTTTCAGATATATCCTTCATCGAAGCAAACATGTATTATTCGGCCTCCTCATTCAGCTATGATTGTGTGTTAATTTGATATGAAAACCTATTGATATGATTTCTGAATATGAATTCACTATTAACTTTAGAATTATTCTAAGAAGTTCTTTTTAATATTTAGCTTGAATATATATCTTTTCGAGCTTTTGCTAACCATCGAAGCACTAGGTACTTCTCAAGGATTTTCATAATATATATCTACCTCAAAACTCTCATGTAGTGAGAACACACTAAACCCATCATTTCAAACTTCCTATAGGTGCATTGAATGCTTTCATCTTGTGTATCAAAATTAACAACCCAAGGATTAGAATAATCCTTTTTCTCTGTGCAACAAACAAAAAACTTTGAAGAATCATAAGAAATAAACTCTATACTCATTACATCTACACCCTATAAAAATTCTTTTTTAAAAAATAAAAATAATTTTCTTAAATAAAATTTAGCATATTGCTTTAATATTTGGTTGCTTTTTATTACAAGTTCTATTTTGGACTAGATGCATTTGTAATCCTCATCCTATTCATTTTGGCGCAAATTCCTCATCATATTATCTAAACCAAGAAAACAATCAGTTATAGAACATGTGCGCTTATAAATGCCATGACACACATTATTAGTGAACTCACTATATTGTGTGGATAGAATGCCCATGTTAAAATAATCCTTATTGAATGTTATTGACCACTTATTTATTATCCTATAAAGATCCTCCAACCAATCATGATTGTGGAGGTTCTCTTCTGTGATCATTTTAACCCATATTTTCTCAAACTCCTCCTTTATAGTCATATTTGCTTAAACATTTATGAAAGAGGCCTCTGACTTTGTTATTGCTATTAATGATATGTCATTGGCACAGTCTATGATGAATGTGAGGTAATGCAACTTCTATGACCCTATCCATTGCCTGGTCTTGACCCATAAATATTATTTTTGGATGTTTATCACTTATTATTCGTACAAAAAGTTATAAACAGCCACATAAATAATTCAATCGTCTCTTTTGACAAGAAGGTCACCCCAAGTAAATTATTTTTCCGATGATTATTGACTCTGATATATGGTGTGCATACCAAATTATACTTATTAAGTCTATAACTAATATAAAAATTCCTATATCATCAAAGTAGTCATAATCTATCCTACCAAGCCCATCAACCAAAAAAAATTAACAATCTATAAAATTCATTAATTTGAACATCCTAAGCGAATATGTTGTCATCAACTTGACAATCTTGAAATAACTAAACTAAAGTATTAGTGTCTCCAAATTCAATCTTTGCTCTTTTCTCTTTTTGAATAAAGTTATACGCATCCCTCTTAGAGAATCCAATATTTTCGACACCTCCAATTTCATCGGCAATGTAAGAAATTGCATCAATAGTTCTTATTTCGTCTTCTGTTATTAATTGAAGAACTGAAGCTTTATCATCACACATATTCTTACATGATTTAAAAAGATGCTGATCTTCTGGCTTAGACAAATCATAATTGTGATTTTCAATAAATTTTTTCACATTTAAATATCTAGCTTCATCCACTATAAATCAAATCGTAGCTGGACAACTAGTTCTAGTGTCTGATTTCTGATATTTCATTTGAAAATTAAGATTAGACATTTTCTTGAAATCATCTTTTGAACAAATAAAATCCTAGGATTTTTTTTTTCTGAAATTTGGCCAGTAACTGTGATGATCCTTGCAAACACTAAAACTAAAGATGTTCCATTTTTAATTATTCTGCTTCCTGAACTTCTGTATACTTGTTTTCGGCCTTCGTGTCTTGTGAGAATATCATCTGCTCATAAAAAGAAATGTCATCCTCTAAATCAATTTTCATTTTCATCAATATTTTTTATGTTCTTTCTTACTCAACTTGTTTGGAGGAAATTTTTTGCTAGCCTTATGTATTGCAGAGCTTCGCGACTGAAATCTTGAAAAAAAAATGCCAACACTAAATTGAACTGTATGGGGATGGTCGTTTTGAGCCGGGTTGGACTCAAGATAGAAAAAAAGTCAAAAATAATAAAACGGAATACAAATTGAATATCTACTCGTCAACTTTCATGTTGACAACTTCCACATAGGCAATCTACACGTAAAATTTTTATTGGCATTCGCAGAGCTATGTGCGGACTGTGCATAAAATAATTTTTACAGAGGCATGTTATACATTAGGGTTGCAAACTAGTCGAGTCGAGCTCGAGCTCGAGCCAAGGGGTGTTCGAGTCGAGCTTGACTATCAAAACCCGAGCTCGAGCTCGAGCTCGAACTCGAGTTGAGTTCAAAATCCGAGCTCGAGCTCGACTCATCTTCAAGTCGAGCGGCTCGTCGAGCTCCATAGTTGAGTCCGTCTTTGTGTTTGTCGTCCCAAGTTCCGTCCCTCGTCGTCGAGCCTGTCATCCCAAGGTCCGTCATGAATGACATCTTGAGATCGTCCGTTGTTCGTCGTCGAGCAGAGATCCAACGTTCGTCATCAAGCAGAGATTTGACGTCGTCGAGCGAGGTCCGTCGTCATCCAGAGCTCGGTTTTCATCGAGCAGAGATCCGTCGTCGTCGAGCAGAGATTCGTCGTCGTCGAGCAGAGGTCCGTAGTCATCCATAGCTCGTAGTCGCATATGTCATATTTGGAAGGGGTCATCTGAGCTCGTCTGTGGTCATCCCGCTCGAGATTCCGATTTCCCACTCGCGATGTCTCGCGATTTGGATTTCCTGATCGTATTTTGGATTTCCCGACTGCTAGCTCCGCCGTCGAGTTTCTCGTCGAGCCGACGAGTCGAGTCCGACGCTTGTTCAAGCTCGAGCTCGACAAGCTTTCGAGCTCGAAACTTTGTTCGAGCTCGACTCGTGAGCTCGATAAACTATACTCGTCGAGCCTGTTATCAAGTCGAGTCTGAGCCGACTTGACTCGGTTGCACCCCTATTATACATTGGTTGTGTACGGGCGCTTAAATGGACCGTCCGCACCGAGTCTGCGCGGCTAATCATTTCACCAACCAAACCGTCCGGTCGGAGGTTTTGATTACGAACTTCTTTTACACTCATTCTTGGCTTACTTCGATTCCACTCTTCCATGGTTCGGTAGGGGTTAGATTCATGCGCTAACGCTATGAGGCTCCTGATACGGAAATTTTCAACTTTATTTGTCGTTTTGCTGGGCGATTTCAGTTTGACTCCATGAATGAATCACTGATTTCCGCTTCAATTTCCTTTCAAAGCTGATTCTCCCCTGGCTTCTTTCAAAGTGGAAAACCCATTTTTAAGTTATTTTTTACTTCATGTCTTTGCTGATCTGAGCGTAGTGCCGAAAAACGATCTTTATTTGGTTTGAAGTATTTGCATTCGCAGATGACTGAAGTATCAGGCCGAGGTACTTTTTCAGAGTTGTAGTGAAAGAGGGGATATGAAGCGCAGGAGTTATGGTATCCGATGGAGGACAAAACTCGCTGTTTTACTCTCTTTGAGCTTCTGCATTGGTACTCTGGTACTGATACGTAAACAACACGACCGAATCTTGAGCCTTGACAATTCGGTTTCTTCTCAACCTCATCCGAAGCCAAAGATCGCGTTTCTCTTTATAGCTAGAAACCGGCTTCCTTTGGATGTGATCTGGGATGCATTTTTCAAGGTTCTGTTCCTTTATTGACTATTTTTCTCCTATCTTTTTTCTATACGTGGAAATTTTGCTATAGATTGATGCAAATTCTTTATTGTTTATCAAATAATCATCCATAACGTTCAGTAGCAGGAACAGGAGGAGGGTAAATTTTCCATTTACGTTCACTCCAGGCCAGGGTTTCTATTCAACCAAGCTACGACAAAATCACGATACTTCTATGGACGACAGGTCAACAATAGTATACAGGTATGGGTTGTTCCGTGTGAATCTTAGACCCTAAAGTGAATTTTCCTACAACTTTTAATCTCGTGTTATTGGTTTGGGTTTTGGAGTCAATTGCCATATGCCCGCATTCCATGAAACATCTTGAAAGATGTTTTTTTTGTTGTTGTCTTTTTACTTATTTCTATTATGCTCTTACGGTTCAATTGATTAAATATGTTGTTGTAGATATTAGCAAATGCCAAACCTGAACTTTTAAAGTCCTTCAAATTGATTGAGTTGATTTAACACGCCATTTTTCTGCCACTCCTAGAGTACAATAGATATCTTCCTAAAGGAAGGAAGTTGTTCAAAAGTTTAGCTTGTGCAATCTGTTTTGTTTCTAGGACTCTTGACTACAGGACTAACATTATGGATAACCATCCAACCAAATCCACCTATTTCATTGAATCCCTTTTGTGGACTTTATGTAAAAATCATCATAATTTAACCTGGATTTACACTTTGCATGCCATTTGATTTGGAAGTTTGATTGCGAACTATAGTTTCTCAATAGTATATTTTAGCACTTTTTTAGACATTTCTCTTTCTTTAGAATATTGAATGTTATGCCCTTTGCCTTTGAAAAGTGATAACAAATTTGCAAAACAGGGCTAACACTACATACATCTAATTCTTCTCAAAGCTACGACAGGGATTCCTCTTGCACTGGGTACCTTAATTAAAGTTAGATGTCTGTTTTTTGTATGCAAACAGGTAGATTGGGGAGAAGCAAGCATGATTCTAGCAGAGCGTATCTTACTTCACAATGCCCTCAAGGAGGCTACTAATGAGCGGTTTATTTTCCTATCTGATAGGTATTTTATGTTCTTTATGATCCTTTGCACACTCTCTTAGATTGTTTTTCTTCTAATTATTTCAATTTGTGTTTTATTGTTTGATCACTTGGGAAAACCCACCCCCCATTGAGCTTCATCGGTGTGTTACAGAAAACTTTGAAGTAGTTTTTCTCGAGGCATATTAGGTTTATTTTAACCATATTTATATAGATATTTATACCATAATTTATTTAGATATGTGGTTAAGACTTCGAATGGGTGCATACCCTCTCTTGCTCATAGGAGATCATTCCTGATTAAGGGGGAAGCTTAGTCTCATATTTTAGGCCTAGGTTTGATAGTTACATATTGATTTATTTGAATGGGATTGGTTGAGGGATGTAGGGAGACCTAATCAAAATCTCATTACTCAGTATTCTTGGGTGTATTGTAAACGTAATTTGCCAATGTTTGAAGGATTTGAACCATAACATCCCAAGAGCCTAATTAAAGACAATGAGTTATTTTCTATTGTCCCGAGAAGGATTGGGTCAAAATATTTGTCTTGAAGACGTGTTTTCAAGGTTGATGCAAACTTGTTCATTAGAAAGGGCTAGTCTTACTAGTTTCACTAAATTGTTTAGAGGCATGAAGCATGGCTACTTTCAGTTCAAATGTGTGAAGCATGACCCCTTCAAATGCAGTTGTGACATGATCGACATAAAATTAGAGGTATATCATGACAATTAACTATTAACGAGTTTCATCTTAACTTGAAGAAGTGTTTAAAACATTTGAGATTGTTGCTTTGCGTTGTTTAATTGGTGGGATTTTTGGCATGGAAGTTGACTCGAGTTTAGTTTGGGTTGGGGCTTACATTTTAGAAGTCTTATGAAAGCATAATTTGATAGGCTTATTTACTTTGAAGTAGTCCAGATTGATTGGGTTGGGGCTTACATCCATTTGAAGGACCCAAAGTGAAACAACCTCAGAGATGTAAACATTCAGTAATATGTCTTACATCACTGTTCTATGGTTAAGATGGCCTGATTAAACGAAGTTCATTTAATGGGGGTTTTTGACTTCATGTCAAGCCAATTACTAAGTTCGGACTCCTATGCATTGGAAGCCTCAATACTTAGAATTTGATGTTTTAATTTAGCAGGCTCACATATATTATGATGATTTGCTTGGGTCCTGAGGTCAACTTGGAGTTACAGGTGTGCACTTGGTTGGCTTGGATGATTTGATTTATGAATTAGCTAAACTAATTGATTTTAATTTTAAAATTTATAAAATTGAATTGGTCAAATTAATTTTCAAATTGAACTAAATTGAATTGAATTTTAGTTTTTTAAAAATATATTAACCATTAACAATAAATTTAAATTTTTATCTTAAATAGTAGGTATTAAGAAGAATACCACTTAATCTTACTGGAATTTATAATTTTAGCATGTGGAATAAATAACATTCATGTTGATATTTTTGTCAATTGCTTATTTATTGTTGATGGGCTTTATTGATTTAATAATTGAAGAAGTATAATTTGAATTTTTACTTAATTAAATTTACAAAAGAAAAAATAAAAATAATAAAAAAAGGTTAAATAAATTAAATTAGATTGATATAATTCAATTCTTTGATTTTATCCAAACAATGCACAACCTTCTTGGAGTTAATAAAGTAAAACTGAGGTCATTAGCATATTTGCTTGATTAGCCGGGTATTAGGTTAAGAGTCAAGGATCTGGGACTCAAAAAGTTATTTTTTATGATTTTAAAATATAGAGAAGGTGGGGGGGGGGGGGGGATTATCGTCATTTTGATTTTTCATAAGTCTATTAAAACCCCATATATTCATTTGAAATCATTTCAAAACCTAAGGGGTGTTTTAGGCTTACAATCATATTAACATGCTTTTTTGATGTCTTAATATCCTTAGTAATACACTTACACATATGTAATGTTTAGAAGTCATTCTGAGATATATGTAATTATTAGCTATTTATGTAATTTAAATACATTTATGAATGCTATGATATCCTAACTTGCTTTGTGCATTTTTTTAAGTCATACAGTGGAGGCAATGCATGTTTGATCGTAGGTCTAATTTACTTCACAAAAGTCAATTACAATGATTTTGATCTTTGAGAACTTTCACGGGCTCTTTGTAAGGTTTATACAGTTTTAAAATTTGTTTTTTAATGTTCAATATTTTCATAAGTGGCTTTAATTTCATTTCTTGTAGATATATTCTCCACTAAAAGATTTATATAACCCAAGTTTTTGTATTATGTAACTGGGAGCTTTAATGCACCACATACATTATGGGGCCCAATTTCATGATATAATTTAGTTTTAGAATATGATTTAACAAGGCTTTGTTGCTAGTTCTTTGTAATGGTATATCAAATGCCTCATAACCAATGCAATTAACTTTTATTAAAGGTTAAATGGGTCTCTTCCGCATGTTAGCTGTGATTTTCAGTAGGTCAATGGGTTGGTTCTAGATCCATTAGTTCCACCTTCAATTAATTATTCTAATTTATTTTTATGTCATTTCATTTAGTGGGGCTTGGAATATGAGTTGCATTTTTTAGATATATGTTTTAACTAAAGCTTAACTAAGCATCATCTTCAACTTCCAAACATCTTAATTCTTATGATGCTTGCTATGTTGAATGTAGTGTAGCAAAATAATAAATATTATGATTACTTCCCTTTTGTTTTTTCTCTGGTATGCACACATGTTTGGTTTCTTGTCCGTCCATGATTCAAGTTATGTATTTTGATGATTGAACTGAGGTATTGAGTGTATCAATTACACTTGAACCATAGAGAGATCATGGTGTCCATCATCCAACGATGGTACAAGGTCTAGTAATTGATTTTGATCACAAGCAATCACAGACAAGAAATAAACCACTCATTGGACCCGAACTAAAGATCAATGTAGTGAGGCACAACTATTGGTGGATCATAGTGCAAATGTCTTCAAACTTTAGCTGGATCAAAGATCATTGATTTGGAGAGTGGTCTCTGGTCCTAGTCGGATCAACGATAGTGAGTCTTCCCAGTAATAATATCAAAGATTGACGATCAATCTTTCACACTAAATGAATCAATGGTTCGTTAAATTTTTTATTATTGCATTTGTGTATGATGGAGTTAAGGGAGTTGGGATTGAAAATTATTAATGCACTTGGAAATAAGGAAGTCACATGATGTGAGATTGTCAGCTATTGTTTTGTTAGATTTGAAGCTGTGGAGTTTGTTGTACCTTAAAGAGAGTGTTAAAGTGTGGTTGTTGGAGATGAGAGTGACGTCACCCTTAGGTTGTAGGTGACTACTAGGATCAATAGAAGTTTTTTAAATTGACATGACAAATCAATCCATGGGTGTTGACCCCGAATTAAAAAAAAAAAAAAAAAACCTTACCTGCTCGATGCCGCTCTCTGCACAACCAAATCCCGCAATATCTGTTATTCGCACATCGACGTCTCTTTACGTACGATCGGCCTCAACGTTAAAATGAGATCGAGCTCGTCATTTGCTCTCTCTCGCTCGATCCTTCTCCTTCGTCGCTGTTCGATTTCGCTTCTTCCACAACTTTCCCTTCCTGAGAGATCGGAAGCCGCGACATTTGATCGGAGGCAACGATGGTCTCACTCACTATGAAGGTAACTTTCGCCCTTGTACGCGCTTCTCCGGCCCCCTTTGCTATTTGACTTTGCTCCCTCTGCGATGTGCCCTTCCTAACGGATCGGAAGTTACGACACCTTAATCGGAAGCAAGACATGAGCTTACTCATTGTGAAGCCCTAGCCGCACGTTCTCCGGCTCCTTTGTGACGTTCCACTTCGCCCCTTTGACAACTTTCCATTCCAGTTGGATCGGAAGTTACCCATTTTGATCGGAAGCGAGCACGGGAGCTCCACACGCTGTGAGGGTAACTCTCTTCCGATCGCACGCTTCTTCGGCTTCCCTGTTGTTGCTCGACTTCGTCCCCTCGACGGCGTTCCCCTCCCGTTGGATCGGATGTTGAGACATTTTGATCGGAAGCGGCAACGAGAGCCGCTCGCTATGAGGACGACTTTCCCTTCACGCCTGATTGAAAGTTATGGCATTTTGATCGGGAGCCAGAGCAAGAGCTCGCCGCTGTTAAGGTAACTTCATCCCTTTCGTGCGCTACTTCGGCCAAATCCCGTAAATCCACCGGACCAAGGGGTTTATAAAAAATATATATTAGATTTATTTAATTATAATGTATTTTTAATTAATTTTAATTAATTATAATTATTATTTTTAATTAATTATAATTAATTTTATTTAAATTATTATAATTATTTAAATTAATAAAATATTTAATTTTACTTAAAATTAAATAAACTTTAAGTTGCTATCAAATCAATTTGGTTTTTCTTGTAGCGTGGTGGGGACGATCCTCGACCTCGACATCAACACCGCCGACGACTGCTACGAAAGGTATAATGTCCCAAATCCCATTCTCGACGTTTGTATCGAATCGGAGAACTACCTATATGCGCTATAGTAGCACAGTAGGAGGGAGCCCGGTGCGATGTATACGACAAGGTGGGTAAGTCCTATACACGCTCTTATAACATGGTGGAGAGAGCCACTGGTGTTCTGGTACGAGTACTATTGAAGGCCCCATACACGCTCTTGTAGCGTGGTGGGATAAAAAGATGTACGGCCGCGGCGTCTAAGGACACCTACTATACACGCTCGAGTAGCGTGGTGGGAAGACCCAGCTCCCCTACTTTCCCCCAAATGGGGGATACGTTGGGATGCTGCCAAAATTTTTGCTGAAGTACACAAGACTTAAACAATTTGAAGACATCATTTGAGTAGCAATACGAAGGACAATAGAGGACCCATACTTGAACTCAAAGCATAGAACTTGGACTCAAACGAACAGTGGACTTGAGGACTTGTACTTGAACACAAATCAAAATGAATTCAATTCAAATTTGAACAAAATACAATTTGGAATTCAATATAATACAAGGACCTAACT